GAAGCTGTAGTCCAGCTTGCACTTACATCTAATGTTCTGCTTCCAGTCCCACTGACAGCCTTAGTCCAAGCACTCTTTGTGTTCCAACTTTGGAATAACTGTTATGGTGCAGAGGCCTGTGAAAGTCCTTGTTTGTCTCTGCAGTATTGCAGGGGGTTCTGTCCGGGTTATTTTAAGTTTGCCAGCAAGGCTTTGTTATCTCTGGCCATATATTATCTGGCTGTATGCCAGTTTGAAAATAGACATCTCCAGGCCGAGTATACACTAAAGCCTGCAGTGTGCTAGTGTATGGAAGGATGTGGATGCTGGTTTGGTAAAACCTCGGTCATTTTTCTCACTAGGACACTTGGCTTTTCTGGGGGCTGGCTTTGCAGCTGGTATGCAGTCTGCTCCCCACAGACCCCTGTGATAAACTACAGAGACTCCTGTTCCTTTATTGCTGAGCATTATTGTTGAACATTCTTATTTCTGTATTGTAGCCATTTTAATTCATTTTTACTGTGATCTGCAAACATGCTTTCAGCTTGAGGAAAGCACTAACCAAACAACAATGTGCTTTCATTTTACAGCTATCTTTGTTCTAGACTATCTTTCTTTAAATAATGCTAACAGTGCTGACGTTCAGTTGGTGTTCAGCTCTCAGCTTGCCAGTGTTGTCACGAAGTATTGTAGCCATTTTAATTCAGTTTTACTGTGATCTGCAAACATGCTTTCAGCTTGAGAAAAGCACTAATCAAACAACAATGTGCTTCAAACAACAATGTGCTTTCATTTTACGACTATCTTTGTTCTAGACTACCTTTCTTTAAATACTGCTATCAGTGCGGACGTTCAGTTGGTGTTCAGCTCTCACCTTGCCAGCATTGTCATGAAGTCTTCACTTGCAGTGATATTTGCAAAAAGAAATCCTGGAATGAGCGGCATAGGCAGGAGTGTTTGGGCTTGCTGGGTAAGTCTGCCTGTCATTACGATCTGAAGTACAGTGGTTTGTGCTTGTATACTGACTGGGGTATGCCTTCCGTGTAACGGACCAGTAAAATCTGTTTTACAAAAGAATTTAAATAAGAAGGTTCAGTTCATTCACTTGAAGAGCTGTGATCTTTGTAAACCCACCAGCTTTAAGAGAGCTGTTACTTGGTCATTCCTCGCAACTTCAGGGGAAAAGAATCTTTAGGGTGAGTGCAGAGCAAAGGAAATACTCTCTCTAAGACTAAGGTTAGCTACTGTGGACATCAATAGACAACTTTCCAGGCTGAAAGACCGCTATAGATCAAACAAGTTAGGCAGGGTGGAGCTTTCGGTACAAGCTCTACCACTTTATCACCTGTACCTGTATATTAGAAGAGAAATCAATAAGATTTCTGACTTTTATTCATGGAGTTGTTGTTACCACACCACTGTGCTTATTGGAAACCACACTTGTGCTCATAAAAATGAAGCCATGTGCTACCTTGCAGTAGAAGACTAGCAAGGTATAAATTACACTATTTTAATTATAGCAGATGCTCACATAGATTGAATGAGAAATCTGTCAATTGTGAACACCACTGTGCGTATTGGAAACCACACTTGTGCTCATAAAAATGAAGCCATGTGCTACCTTGCAGTAGAAGACTAGCAAGGTATAAATTACACTATTTTAATTATAGCAGATGCTCACATAGATTGAATGAGAAATCTGTCAATTGTGAGGTGGGTACAGAACTGCTGTATTCACAGAAGTTCTGCGATTGATCTATCTTTTAGCGGCTGCCTTGAATGGGACTTTTAAATCTGGATACATGGAAAACCCTGTGTGTTTGGAATAGTGGGGTCTGTCCCACTGGAGATAAGCTATATCAAACATACATGCTTACCAGTATGGGCTCTGTATAGAATCAAAATATTATAGAACAGAACAGAATAGACATGAAAATGAAAGGACAAATGGTGGGTAATATGGCAGCTGTACACTGAAGGACTTAAACATGAAAAAAAGTACATTCATTTAGAAAACAGAATTTTACTACCTTGTGTTTAAATATTTAATGCATTATGGATACAGCTGGGTGATGTTACGATGTTAATTAGTGATTATTTAAGTTACTGCTTCTTTGAGGTCATCCTTTTCCTGTATGGCAAATGTCAAATTCCATTAAATTCAGATTCAGTGACTTCAATTCAGTACAAGTGTGAATGCCTTCCTGTAGACACAATTTTTCTCAGTCATAAACAAACTTTAGTGTCTCCCTGTCTAGCTAATTTTGAGGTAGAAAGGTTTTTGTTTGTTCCTTTGTTATATCATTTTTCTCTCCCATCATGTGCTTGATTTAAAATGACCTGAAATTCCCTCAGATGAGTTTTAGCAATTCAGTCTGTTGCTCTGAGAGGCTCTGATGCCCTCCACCCCCTTTCCTGATTCCTTTTCACTGTAGTACAATGTGATTAGCATTTATTTTGTACTTTATAAGCAAAACTCTCAATGATTATCTGAGTTCTGAAGTATCTAATAGTATTAACTGCAGGATTAGTACATTCTCAGATACATTTTCTGGAAGAAACAAGTGTCATTTAGACTTCCATATGTAGTCATTGTTTGGTAGGAAGTTTATAGGTGAGTAGGTAGCCACA